TAACTCCTGCTGCTATCTCTAAACTCAGATCTGGAATGCAAATGGTGGGGAGGCTGTCCATAGCCCTCCCTGCCATAGCTCTGAGACCCTAGATATCTCTCTCAACTTCTCTGAGCCCCATTACACCTCATCTGTAAAATGGAGGTCATGATCCTTTCTTCCTTTGTTGGCTTTGTCTGTGTAGATCATAAGCTCCTTATGGATGGGAGCATGTCCTTGCATGGATTTGCACAGCAGACAGTATCTCAGGCCCCCAGCACAAATACGACGTCAAGAGAAGGAAGAGTATTAGTTTGAAGCCTTGAGATTGAATGTTTCTGGGACCAGACCATGCAAAGCAGGGTGAATGCAGGACAAGATAACCAGAGGATTGTGCAGCTGAGCCCAGTTACCTGCTTCTCATCCCAGAAGCCTCCAGGAGCTGCACACTTCTGTGCAAAGGACATAAAAAACCTACTGAAGTCATTGTGACTATCATGTGCTTAAGTACTTTGCTGGATCAGAGCCCTCACGAACAAGGATGAAATTGGGACCATTCTGCAGTTCATGGCACAATTCCCATGGACCTCAACAGGGCCAGGATTTCACCCAGATGTCTGCACCAGACTTGGCCCCGTTGCCAGCCGTCTCCGCAGAAAGCCCAGGAGTAAGGAGAACTGCTCTCCCCTGTCACTCACAGACACAGCCTCCCAGGGGCAAGGAGGAAGCTCGTAACTAGGGAAGGACATGCATGAAATGCAGAGGCCTCCGGTCTTCCTGGAGAAGAGGGCTGCATTCTTACTATGGCGCAGCCATCGTGCCACAAAACCCTAGTGCAGAGACGGCCACGCGTGGTTTTCATACAAGTCATCTGGGCGGTAAATGCCAGGCTCTGCTACAATCTCTACCCAGACCTACTAATGCACAAGGGAACCACACTCGGCCTTGTCACCCCTAGGATTTTCACTGGTGCTGTCTAATACACGGCAACTGCCACAACGTTTTGAACATGGCATTTTCCTAGCAAATTACTGCTCAGTGTTTAGGTAAATGAACGGCAGCTGGATTGAGCCTCAGCACCGGCGTTTGCTTCCAGCGTTCTTGGGTTTTTTGAATTCATTTTCTCTAGCTTTTACTTGCTGTGCTGACTCAGACTTAGCTGTCCCAAGCCCCAAATGATTTTTCAAGAGAGCTCATTCGTTGTCCGATTTCTACCCCCTTCACTTTTTTAATTGTTTTTATATCTCCCTTTGCTATAAATGGCAACACCAGCTTCCTTCTGGACAGCACCCTAAGCCAGGAGGGTACAAAGTATGAAGGTTAGAGGGCCTTGCAGTCAGGGCACTAGGAGCAGACAGTGGCCTGGAGATTGCCAGTAGCAAGTGACCTCTGAGGATTGCAAAAGAGCGCCCTTTGGGATAATTTAAACTGGCACCAAAGGCAGACAGCAAACACCAGCCAGCTGGCGACAGAGGGCCAGCAACCCCTCATCCCATGCCCTCTCCTGCTGTTGCAAAATATAGATGCTAAATTTGCAGCCATCTGCTCTGTGACTTGGTTGTGCTTTGTGCCAAAGTGGACTGAGAAGCCCGTAAGGAAACACATGGCCTTTTCCTGCAATCAGAGCCTCCGCAATTAAGATGAACCCTACTTCCCTCCAGTACAAAAATAAATAAATAAATAAAGCCAAAAACTCACTTGAACAGGGAAAAAAACATTAGGGAATGCTGAATGAGTGGGGAGGTCTCTGCCCAAAAAACACTGAGCTGAATAATTTTTGCGCTCATTCATCATGGTAGGTGCAAGACAGGAGTGGGAGCTGCTGGGAATAACAGTCAGCCTATGGTTTCAGGAAGAGAGAGATACAGAAATGTGCTAGAGCGAGGACTTGCAAAGCTAAGAGCAGAGGCTCTCCTCTCTCTGTCCCTGGCCTCACTCACTTCAGCTCGCACGCGAGGCTGAGTGCATGCCTGCCTCCTCGTCATGCCAGAGCCACGCAGAACCGAGCCTTTGGGCCCATTCAGTCTGAGCTACTCTTAGAAAGGAGAAATTATTATCAACTCTGCTCACCTTGGTGTTAAATTAGGCAGTGTGAAGGAACACAGAGACTGAATCAATTCAGAGTCTCCATGGACAGACAGGACCTTTGCCATCATCTGCTCTGACTTCCTCTACATCCCAGGCAAGAGAAACTCACTTAGTTCTGCCTCAGACCATAACTTCTGCTTGAGTGACAGCATGTCAGCTAGAAAGACATCCAGTCACAGCCTTCAGACTGTGAGAGGGCATCTGCCATATCCTAAAGTACAGCAATCAATGCTGATATAATAGGCTTGCCCTCTTTTCATTAAACCAGGATGCCCCTCTTAACCAGGCCACCGATTTCACCCACTTGGATTAGCTTTTGGAGGATACTTATGTTCTGGGTAGGTAAAGCAAGCTTCCCTTTTGCAGAACACGCAGAGACTTCAAAAAGTCCAAAGAGCAGGCAGGTTCATGCATCCCATTGATTTTCAATGGCACTTTTCTGCCATATGGGCCTTTGAACATTTCTTGCTAATGTATTATAACTGAGGGGTTAAACATCCAGAACACAAAACCTATAAACTCCACAAAATCTCAAGCCACAAAAGACTGCTGCCATCCCTGCTCCAAGCCCACTTCAGTTTGGTGGAAGCAGTCCTTGTATTACCCCATGCCTCTTCTATCTGCCTATACAGACATTTGGTCTGTTCTCGGGGGATCTACCTCACTTGGGTTGTTCCCGAGTTATTTTTCTCCCAGAGTAGCCACTTTTACTCTGGGAGAAAAAATGTAAATGTCTGTATGCACGTAGTTTCTCCTGAGAGAGCAGGGACTCTCCCTGGAGAAAGTGAACGTCTGTCCATAGCCTATGTTAACATCCTCATAGGTAGAGGCTGGAGAAAAACACCCATCACTAGGTGCTGCCCTGCCCCTCCCCAAAAAGAGCAGCTCTTTTGCACATGCACTCTTTCAGGACTTGAAGCCCAGCATCAAATGATCCGAGCTCTGCTGCCCTTAGCAGAGCTGCGATGGATAGACTTACACCCAAGACCAATCTCACAACTCATCTACATGAGGATACCCACAAAAGTGAGTTAACTGATGGTGTGAAGTCAACAAACTGCAACTAAAGCATTTAATCATCCTCATTAAAATGGGCAAAATTAGAATCTCTACACAAGGGCCTGAGGAGCTTGAATTCATATACATTTAGCTCACCCCTTCACTTGATTCATCTCAACTTTTTTGAAAGTCCCCATGTGGACAGACCCAGAGATGGGAGACCTGGATCAGATGAACATCCTTGGTTTTCATTTGGACTACTTAGGCCTGTCAGGTCTCCCACGAGTTTTCCTGTATCCATCTGGCTCCCAATGTCGCAAGAAGACCAAAAGCTGGATATTGTGGAATAAACCTGCGGTCAGGATCATAAAACTGGGGATGGGAAATGTACCCTAAAAACCAGCCTGGCAGCATGTGGCACAGTGCCACGGCTGTGCATTAACAGGAACCAGGGAAGAAATCTACCCAGGCCAAACCCATAGAGATGTGCGCTATTTCCAAAGGTCAAAGTTACCTTCGAAGCGGCAGTAGGCTGTTTTGCATAAAGCGAACCTGCCGTCACCAGGCACTTCCCTAACAATACCATGAGGGGCTGAGACTGCGCTTTAGAGACGCCCAACCCAACTCAACAGCCGGCAACACAAAAAACAACTTAAAAACCCCCAAATCTGTCCAAAGCCACAAGTAATACACCAAGTGCAAGGGTCTGGGTTAGAAATTCCTGTGACAAACTCCCAAGCAAGGGAGTTCAGATGCAGGCCCTTTTATAGCTTCATTACAGAAAGCACCTGGCCAAGAGTTTCCAGTTCACAGCTGATTCAAGTGGCTACAGAAGTGTGGAAATCCTACTGAGCCAACCATCAGGTAACGCATTTATCATTGTATCATGCCCTTCAGATTGGACAGGACTTAAAGCCAGACTTGTCGAAGCAGAAAATGTTGGCCAGGAAAAGCCTGTTGTTCTGTTCAAGCCCTCGACCCTCCCTCTGCTTTTACACCAGCTTACGAAGACTCCCGTTTCCTTGAGTGCATTAAACGCTGGCTTATCGCACAACCATCACAGGTGATTATTGAGATTACAGATCACAAATTAATATAACGAGGCTTTAGGCCACGGCTGTGCTAGGGGAATTAATCCCACAACGTTCTCGGTCCTTTGCACAGATGGTTCTCTGATGCATCCTAACTGCGAGTCAGGGCTGGTTTCAGAGGCCAGGAAGCTGCAATTAGACCTTTACACCCAGAACTTTTTTCTTTTTTCAGCAAGGCTGGTTCTTTTCTTCAGAAGAAGAAAGACTGAAACTTTTCCCCTCTTCTCCTGACAAACATCAGCAGATGTAGCCAAAGTTTTCTTTTTTCCTTTTTTGGGGGATGAAGCCCAGAGCCAACTCATTTTTTGTCAGACTCTTTCTTAGCCACTTCTTAGGAATAACTTAGCAAAGGAGTTTGACCCACCAGAGTAAACTTGCATTGGCAGCTAGGAAGAGAAACCAAGTTGGAGCCAACCTTGGAGTCAGAGGGCTGGCCATTTTGAGGAAGCCTGTTATTGTTTAGGAGTTCACAAGTAAAACCAAACAAAATGTAATGGTTTCCTGTAATTTTGATCTGAAAATGTTGCTGCTACAGATCATTTGCACTTTGAATTTTGCTTTCAGCTTTGGGTTCTAGCAGACCCTAGATGAATCAGCCTCACTACATGATGCTACGTCTACACAAGATGCACCACTTGTCTTATGCCCCAAGTATGGACGCAGTTCGAAGGGTAAATACACTTACCATTACCAAGTGCTTTGATATTCTGGGGATGGGGGCCATATGAATTAATGGAGAGAGGGTGAACTCAGCACAGCTGACAGGGAAGGGACAGGATAGGCGCATGGCTATTACCCTTGCTATGTAATGTTTGTAAATGCAGAGATAAGGGTTGCACGTACTTCTCCATATGGAGTGCAGTAGGTCTCCGCTTGAATGAGACCGCAGGTAGATGAGGCTTTCAAGTGATGGATTCTTCCTACAAGCAGGTCTCCCACAGGTGGGTAGCAAGCGCCACGTGAACAGGTTCCCTGGGCAGCCAGTATCTGTGGTACAGCTAAAACACAAGAACTAGACTTTGATGACAGAATATACTGGGACACACAATCATCTCTGCTGGTGCCAGAAACAAGCCTCATTCATTGGCACCATCTGACATAAGGGGAAGGGTACATTGGACCAACTAGGTGAGCCCAGGCTTAGTGCTCAGGCACAAAGCAAGCCCCTGGCATAAATGGGGGAAAACAAAACGCACCTTTTGTCCTAAACTGCATTCATTTTTAAGACTAGGAAGAGATGCTTTAAAATCACGGCCCCCAACTAACAATCCTTTGTTAAGTCCCTTCTCTACCATGTTGCATTCAAAAGCCATTGGTATTTAACCTGCTGGTGTTGCTGAGATCACTGTGTGTGATGCTGATTAATACCACGTCATTGCTTCCTTGCACTGCCCTGTCTGCCCAGACCTGTCTGGTGTCTCTTGCCTTATACTTCACTTCTGAACTGTTTGGGACAGAAACCTTCTTTTTTTCTTAGCTTGTACAGCACCTAACACAATGGTCATGATCCTCCTGCATGCTACCACAGTACAATTATTACTGGAGCATGCTATATTTCTAGCTGCTCATCCATTAATCACCTTTGCAAGAGCCGCTGGTAGATTTTACCATGAATTCACTTCATTTCAGGTGTACGCAGGGCAACAGGCAATAGGTTTGTCCACGCCCTAAACTTCCCAGTAGAGTTAAACAGAGCAAACGTAGGCCAGGTCTCCCCAAGGCCATCTTAGCAGCACGATGTAGGATAGTAGAGCTTACCTAGGAAAATAAGGAAAGACCACAGGCTGGGGGGCTGGGGAGACTCCATGTTGCAGAAGGCTCACCTGAGGGAGAATTGGAAGAGTGAATTAAATGGTACCGAAAGCACAGATCATAGCCCCTTGCTCTGCTTTACTGTTTTACCTCAGGGTAGCCTCCATGACTACACAGTTACTCCTCGTTTGTGCTGGTGGAAGCAAGAGAAAAATCAGGCCCTCAGGCTAGACACAGCATAGATCTGAGTTACGTAATGCTAGAAGCAAATGCAAAGATCCTGCGCTTTTCTTTCAACTGGTTAGTACAGCTACCTGCTCATAAACAGGGATCCTTGTTTTCTCTGGTTAAAAAAATCCCCAATTTTCGATTAAAAAAAAGTGTAGATTTTTCCGTGATTAAATTGGGGATTTTTTTTTTAAATCAGAGAAAACCAGGATCCCTGCTCAAACTATAGCTAGGATCCACCCCCCACCCAGGGCACTGACTTCTGGGACCCTTGCACATTATTTCTACTGTCTCTGAAGAGCCACAGCTAAGATAAAGCAACCCTTTTTTTTAGCAAAGTTTGAATTCCTTTGGGAACCTGAGCTCTTCAATTTTAGTCACAATCTTGTGGCTATCTCAGAAAGCAAACGCACCGCAGCAGCGACACCTTACAAAAGACTATCGGCCAGGCAGGCCCCTTCGTGCCCTGCCCACGGTGCACGCAGTGTTTGCCGTCCCAGTCTCTGGACCTGCGGCAGGGACTGCAGTTTTGACCTGGAACAAGGCTGAGAAGGCAGCCGGAAGGGACAAAGTCTTCACATGATGTAGCATGCAAATGTTTTCCGCTGCAGCAGCTGAATCCCACAAGACTGTTCTTGCTGCCTGCTTGAAACGGGGCTGCCCGCCCTGAGCTAACACCACAAATCCTCTCCGGCGCTGCCACTTTTCCTGCGCTGCTGTGCAGGGGGCACCAAGCCCTGGCCCCTGTGCAGCGCTGTACCTACCTGGCGAGGGGCTAGCCTTTTCTCCTCTCTTCCCCCGTTATCCAGCGGCTGATCTGAATTCTCTCCCGAAGTAGCAGGGCAGTTTCCTTTCACTCTCAGCTTTTAAACAGAGCCTCACCTGAGGAAGTAAGTTCCTGTGGGTGTAGTAATGCTAAAGGGAGTGATTCAGGGATCTTTAGACAAACACACCCATCTGCCGTGCAACTCATTCGACATCCCAGACAGTGCCCACAGCCAGAGACAGAGCTCACTGAGCATTACCATGCGAGCAAAGACTCCTACAATTAACCAGAAAGGGAATTCATATCTAAAAGCACAGGGTGGGTCAACACTGCAGTCAGAAAGAAGTATGACTTCACCTTGCAGACATACCTGAGCTAGCTGTAAAGCCGCAAGCTCAGGTAACCGTCAGTGTTTACTCAGTTTGTCAGGCAAGGTTTACAGTCTGTGCTGTGCTACAGCTACGCCACGGATGCACACTGGAGCTGGCGGCTTGAAAGCTAACCTGAATTTGACTGTGGAGCTGTCGCCACATGGGATTTGTCACTATACTCAGGCGTGCACCACTAAACTCCATATAACTGTATGCCCCTTCCCCATCTCAGTGCATCCAAGCCCCTCAGTCAGCACAGAACATACCCGCCCAAGAATCTGGACAGCTGGTAGCATTACCCCCATTTAACAGATGGGGAGTTGAGGCAGACACATTAAAGCCCACATTTTCAAAGGACCTGGCTCTGAAATAAGTAGCTAAATTTTCCAGGATGCTTAGCACTTAACACCCAACTTTACAACGGTCACACAGGAAGACTATGGAAGGGCTCGGATGAATCCAGATCTCCTGACTCCGGATGTAACCACTCATTCCTGCGCTCATTTACACCAGATTAAGTTCAGCAGAGCGACTGCTGATCTGCACATCAGCGAGAGTGGTATCCTCGTCCTTTCCAGCCTGCCGGTGAAGGGCATGTGAACGTGCTAAAGCCTCATTTTCCAAGGCTCGTACTGCTTTGGCTATTCTGCTGGAACAGTTGACTGTTGTGTGGATGCTGGTTTCCTCTGGCCTGGACTGCAACCCACCAGCTGACTGCACACACAGACCACCCGCCTGCTCGCAGCACAATGACTTTCAGGCACTGCTCACACGCGCTGCATTTGAAATGAAGTCAGAGAGGTGGAAATCTTGCCACTCACTTGCCAAGTCCCCAGTCGCACAGTTCCCATTAGAAACCACTGCAGCCAGGGGTCTCTGCTCTACCCTCCTCTCATTTGTGAATGGCATTTAAATCAGGCCTGAGCTCCCCGTAACACTCATCCAGAATGAACTCTGCACCCCAGCCCTCCTCTCTGTGCTGCTGGAAAGCTGGCTGTTAAAACCAACTAAAACAAAATCTGGAGCTCCAGATTTTAGGCTGGTGCAAAATAACTTCACTCCCCCTTCTGCCAGCCTGAAATGCCCAGGTCCTGGAAAACATCCAGGATTAAAAAACAATCAGACCCCAGGCTACTGCATCTGAGTTCTCTTCCGTTCGTGGGCGTGCCAGTCGTGTGGCATCACAAGCATCGCTCCTAGGTGCGGTTGCCTCCGGAGCAGATCAGTTAATAATGTTGAAATACCATGTTTTTTATCCTGGCATCTGAATTCTGCAGAGCCGCCTCCCTCAGCTGGCAGCTCCCAGCGTGTCCGAGGGAAGTAACGGGAACGCTGAAGAGGACTACGGCTGGGATTTATTCTACCAAACGTGCCCAAAGAGCAGCGACACAAAGAGGCCACCACTGTTGCTAGTGCTTGTGAACTGTCGGTGATCGTCTCCCACGTGTAGTGTGAACGTGTGTGCATCTACACGGCTCCTGCGCAGAGAAGAAAGGCCAGTCTCATTCTGGGCCTTGTGTTATAGTACCCGGGAGTTTTAAACATTAATCTTCATTGCAATTCTGTGGTAGATTATTCTTCCCTATTTTGTAGGGAGGGAACTGGGGTAAAAGGGGACTGAGTGTTCACCTCTGGGGTTTGCATTAGGAATTGCCTCTTATATCGAAGCCTCCTCTTTGTCTCACAATGCTTACCCAACTGGTGCACTGCTGCTTTATTTAAGTAATGATGCTCTGGCCGCCCCTCTCCCTGGCGATCACTGCTTTTGGAACATAGGACTAGAAGAGCTTATCCTAGGCCATCAAGGCCAGGCCGCAGTATTTACAGATGACCACTCATCCAAAGAGTCCTAAAAGCCATGCATTCCCAAATACCAAACACCCACGTTAACTCCTGCTGACTTTGGAGGGAGCTGGATCCGGCCTTCCTGGTAACAGTCTCTGGGCCAGCTTTTCGAAAGGCCTCCCTCGAAGAGCTTGCATCACTGCTGAAATCGGTCGCCTCCGTGAGGCAAGAGCAGCCTCTTTGCCAGCACCCCTTGAGAAAGCTGCAAATGCTTTACATGCTCTTCCCATTACTGCACGTTCTGGACATCAGCTGCTAAGCACACCAGGCGCTCACCGTCCGGGAAGGGGATGCTAATGCAGTGTTGCAATTCTATGGCACAGACCCAGGTTGGGCAGGGGAACACACCTGCCAGCAGCTCCAGGTTTATCCTGCGTGCTCTGCTCCCCACCCCGCTTGTCCCCCCCACCAGAGCTCCCAGACAGGGGGAAAACAAACACCTGGCCGGGCAGGCTCGGCAGGTTTAAACAAGAGCAAGAACAGGCAGGAGTCTGGTTTGCAGCAAGTAAAACAGAAGCAAACGCTCTGCAGCTGGGGCTCACGGTGGAGCACAGGGCTGGGGGACAGGCTCAAGCCTTACAACTGGGGGGCACAGGCTCACCCCCCTGTCCTGCTGCAGGCTGCCAATGAGGCCCTCATTCGGGCTGAGTCCTGTTTCCCATCTAATGGCACATCCACAGCCACGCAACTTCATTTTTTGGCACTTAGGCAGTTTGCCATTCAGCTGAACACCCACCCTGAGCACACGCAGTAGGCCAGTGTGGCCCCGGGGCAAGATGGGATGGCTCAAATACACACACAGAGCCAGGTGAGTCGTACCATGTTAGGAGCTGGGGCAGAAATGCCCCTGCCACCCTTTATCCCAATGGTTAGGGCACTTTCCAGGGAGCAGGCACCCAGATGCTCAACCCCCCCCCACACCCAAAAAGGCAGCAAACTACTCTAATCTCCACGATGGGAAATAGCACTGCCCTGTTTCATGCATTTTATTCCCCATTGTTTAAAGGTTGTGACATATTAACAGAGAGGCCACATCAGTACCTGAGAGAACTGAAGAACTGTACCGGGGGGTAATGATTGGGACAGACTCCCCACTTGGAAGAGGGGAGATGCATTTGTTTTTAAATGTCCTTTATGGAAATAGCTTTCAGCTGCAGTGCGCTGTGCTGAGCTCCCGTCAGAGCCCACAGGCTGAGCCAGGACATTCCCTGGAAGCAGACAAAAATCGCTCTGTCCAGGAAGTGGGTTGTGTGAGTCACGGGTTCGTACTCTGCCCTCTGAGCCAAAGCTCTAGTATTAAGAGCAGCTCTGTTGCTCAAAGTGCCACCTTTGTGTTACTCACAGCTATAGAAAAATAAGGCCGGCAAGGAGCTGGGTTGGCTAGCTAGTCAGCTCCTAATCAAGGCAGGATCAGCCTGGTCTACACCCTTCCGGACCAGTGTTTATCCAACCCGTGGGAGCAAAAACATGATTCTGCATATAATATAGCGTGTTGACCCGGGCGTACTAGGTACATGGATGTGACACACATTCAAGGCAGAAGCGGCAGGGGAAGTTCCTTGCCTTCTTCATTTCAGTGTTCAGAACAGTACCTAAAACATCATTTAACTCCATTACTTACTTGAAAAAGTAGGAGCAACATAGAAGGATGATGATGTACCATGTGCAGTAATCTTGTTAGGGAGCAAATTGCTTCAGACCTTAATCTTGCGCGTGAATTTTGAGTCCTACAAGGGGGAAAAATACTTTAAAAATAGATGCTGAAACCCCAGTTTTCCCTACAATAAGTTGTCTGAGATGTCATTACAACACCAAAAACCCTGCAACTTCTGCGACCATCCCAAAGCTAATTGGCCAAAAATTTTATGTGAGGTCTTTTACTGGACCAACTGCCTAGTTGAGAGATCTGTTCAACAATCTTTTGGGATTGACAAACTATACGGTCGGTCCAATCAAAGATAATCACAACAAATCCTTGGCGCTCATACATCTCCTCAACCATCACGACTGCAACAACACTCCCAGACTACTGCAACATGAACGATACCAAAGCCAATAGGAAGAGCATAGGATGCAACACTAAATTACGGTGCAGAGGTTATAATACAGAGATGCTCCCTAGGGTAACGCAATGAATGGGAGCGTGTATACTCTATTTTTAGAGCGTCTCAATATTATATCTCCTAACTGTGGCCACAAAAGAGCTCAGGACACTTTTTCTATATGTCACATCTTGACTGAACTGCCCTATGGATGCTGCCTCCAAGGAAAGGGTCATTTGGATGAGGCTCATTGGATGAGAATCACTTCACCTCCTGCCCTTTGGTGGTTGCACTGCACTGCACTGGGAAGCTAAATGCCTTTCACATTTCAGTCTGGAGACAGCACTTCATAAGAGGGAGAGATCTCAGCCTTCAGAGGCAGGGCCTAGTGAGCACTGCAGAGCATCTGTACCTGAGCTGTGGTCAAGGGCAGCTCAATTTGTCCTGTGCATGCCATGCTGGCAACAATCAATACAGCTGCTGCTGGTTTGGTGCCAACCTTAATGTGGAAAGGGGTCAAAGTGGCTTGAACAAAACTGCCCCACAGCCTTTGAGATAGAAACCAACCTACCCACCAAGGCCACTATCTGGTGGAGAGCCTGGAAAAGGGATCTTAGCTTCAGAGAGGCTTGCACACGCACATACACAGACACAGCTCTTCTTCAGTGATGTTAATATTGTGTGCTACCAAGATAAAGAACAATACCAGTGTGCCAAATGTCCAAGGTCTTTGATTACCAATTACAGTTCCAGATCTAAAAATAAGGGACCTTGGCAAATTATCTGGAACAGCATTTCACTGCACCTCCCAGACCCAGTGTCAGCTCCTTGCACCATTTCCATGGTTCGAGTCAGATGACAAACACAGGGCCATATTCATTAACAGTGACTTCAATGATGTTGCACAGAAAATGGGGTTTTGCCATGAATTTTTAAAGCTGATGGTGGCTGAAGTGTGAGAGAAAACAAAACAAGGCCATGTACTGTCTCAGATTCAACCACAAGTTACTATTAGGAATAAGATAGAGAGGCACACGAGTT